AGAGTTGAGATCAACTGACTAACACAGACTGGACAGCTAATTTCTCCATTAATTCATTAATAAGCATTGAGTATGATGTTTCCATCATAGTCAAGAATTCAGAGACATGTAAAAACCTTAGCCTAGAACTAGAACAGAAATAATGTTCCAAGAATAATTTGTAACAAGGAAGGAAAATAAAGTTCTCCTTACATCTAACTTCCTTTCCCTGCTTGGTTGCCTACAGATCTATGCAGCTGAGACCCTTCTACCACTCACAGCTCCTGATGTAGTGTAGACTTCCATACAGAACACGATTTTGCACTGAAGAAAGGAACCTGTGATATATCTAGGCTAGAGATGTGAGTATGTGCATAACTGCAGGCGTTACAGGGCACCATGGCAGCCTTTCCAAATCAAAGATTACAGCTTTCAAGTCCAGATAATTTGAGCTTATGATTCCTTACTGAAAAGTCAGCATCTTTCTCAGTAGGAATGAATCCTTTTACTGACAACGTAGGCAGCTGTGTACCAAGGGAGTATTAGAAAGGAGTTTTTCTTCCCCCATGGATTATTTAAAATTGTGTATATTTTTTGTAATTTTTCAGGTTGAGTCCCATTCAAGTCACAGGGACTTAAAACAGCAGTGGATTTTGGCTCAACTCCATGGAATTTAATAACTTCAAATTTAATGAAAAGAGCTTACTTGTAGAGTTTTTCTGGTTGAACCAGATTAAAATACATCTTCAATATCATCTTGCATGCTACACAAATCCCTTTTGTACTTCCTAATAAATTTACAAGGTCTTTTAGTTCCCATAAAATAATCTCAATCTCTTCTCTACGTGCTTCAGTAATAAAAGTACCTAAACATTTATGAAGCATAGGTTAAGAAACAAAATATATGATTACATGATATATGTAAAATTATTTTCTTTGAAATATTTTCCTATTCAGCAACTATATCTCAGTGAATAGCAACTTAAAGTAGGAGAATTACATTGAAAGAATTTCTAGATGAAATTCCAAGAGTGATAGGTACCTTTAGCTTGCATTCTAAGTAAAGGAGGTTTTTAAGATTGCAGTCTGTCCATGTGTCCATCCCTCCCCTGCTTCCATATTTGCAGTGTTTTGGTCTACTTGCCATGCATAGGAAAGAGAGACAGAAATCACCACTGACTTCTCTCCACCTCTCACAAAAGCATGGAAGGGTTTCCTTTCCAATGTTCACCCTCCCTGCCCTCAAAAGCTTACTGGAGGATGTGGGAAAATGATATTAAATGAAAAATCAACCACAGCAGTCAACCAAAAGCAGAAAAATTGCACTGCCATTACACACGCTCCACTTTGAATACTGTGATACAGGAGATATTTAGGTGGTTGGGGAAGCTGACAGCATTTTATTAGAAGCATTTATGGAAATGTACTTAAAAAGAATTTCAGGCATTTTTAAATACTGCTTTCACCACCACAAAGATCAGACTAACCATTAAAGGCTTTGTGGAAAGACATGCCTTGTCTGAAGTTACTTATGAATTAGTGTACTTCAGATATAAGACAGGATTTTATGGTTGCAGTTTGTCAGAGCTTAACCCTCCTCCCTCAAAAATTCTTGTTTATCTTCAAGCCTACTGGCTCCAAGGGTGGAAATCACTTTGAAATACTTCTTCTAAGACCCTAGTGTGAAAAGAATTAAGTCGGATTTCTGGAACTTGAGGTTTGGATCAGCATAGCCTCAATACTATAATTCTATGCTTTATGAATCTGAGAAAAAAAATTAAATAATACAGGTCAGATACAGTGTGTGAGGTCCTGCCCCCAGTGAAGTCAGACTCTCTGGCAACATATCAATTGATAATTAAAATTGTCAGGGCCTGTTTTCTATCCCTGAGGCCATCTGGCAGGGTCTGGCCAAATGCTCTCTATTAAACACTGGTGTTTTAAACAAGGTAGCACAACCAAGCCACTCACTGGGAACAGACCTGAGCTGACTCTAGCTAGACTGTGTACAGTATTTTTTTCTCTGCAGATTTTATCACTCTAGAGTAAAAAGTGACAGAAATTATTTTAACAAATCAACAGTATAATTCAAGTCCAGTGCCCAAGTCTGTGCCACACCACTCTTTAATTTATATGTCACTGAAGAGCCTTGCTCCATTTTAAATCAATGGCACTACCCATTTGGTCAAAGCCATGGTTGTACATAGGATTATTTTTAGCCTTTAAAGTAAGATGGGAGTTTAAAGACAAAAAGTTAATCTGGAATATAAAAACTATCCTGGTTTTACTGTGTTTCTAGCCACAAATGGCTATCTTGGTTTTGTGACAGTGCCCTATTTTCTAACCCTGTGTTTGTATGCTTCTTTCCCCAGCCTGCTGTTTATGGCTCTGCTGCAGCAAATGCCTCTCTCCTCCTACCCTTACTCAGTTCTGGTACCACTTTGTCTCCCTCTCAAAAATAAAGGAAAACTGAATATAAAAGAATGATGAGCTAATAAGACTAAAGCTTCATATATCGCAAGTATGCAACAAAGCATACTAAAATTTTTCTGTTTTGATCACCAATTGAATATTTGACCCAGCACATCTATTTACTTTAACAAGTAAAAATATATTCATGTTATATGGCACTCACACACTCTCTGAAGGCAATGATAAAATAATATGCTTTACCAACAATAAAAAAATTGCGAAGAATGAACATAAGCAACCAAACAAATTGGAAGCGCAACATTTTGAGGTATATGTTACCCTGTTAAGAGAATGACAAAGAAACAGAAAACACTATGGAGGTCCTATACAACCTATGTAACAGCTGAGTCACTAGCAGGCCATTAGCTTTTCCCAGGCTCTGGCAGGCTCCTCAGAAGTCTGGCCTTTAGTCCCTGCATTGAGATTGTTGCAGAAGGTGAAAGGAAAAAAAGAAAAAGCAAGTGAGCTAATAAGGATCTGCAGGTTCCTCATTAAATATATGTTTGGAGAACTAGTTCTAAAATCACAATTGTTCACGCCAATAATAGAATTGATAGGAAGTATACTACTCTGATTTTAATGCTATAGTTTGTGAATGATAAAATCTCAGTAAATACACAGAGGTAAAAATAAAATGAAAAACCAAAATTTACATCAATCAGCTGAAAATCAAATGAAACATTTGGAGTAAAAGCATGCTTGAGAAAAACGACGTTTTGATTATTTTTTTTTAAAAAAGTGATATAAAATTCAGATTATATTTGTTAAAAATTGACAATGTTTATATTAATTTATAATTAATAAAATATTTCTCACCTTTGACAAATAGTAACAGGAGTTAGCTCTCCTATACCTCCTTACAAACAACATTAGAACCACAACACTAATTGCAAACATAGTCCCTACTGTTCAAATGATTTTCTCTACGGGTAACAACTGGCAACAGGAAATCCTTATGGTGGGATCAAATTATCTACTTTAAGCTCTTTATTTGTGCCTAGGTTTCAAGTCGACAGATAAGCATTCATTTAAAGTGAGTGCCTGAGGCTGCATTACACTCTGTCAAGACAGCTAATACCTTAAGACCTGAGAGAGGGAACTTCTCTGACTAAATTCAAGCACTGAAATTATGTAAAAACACTCCTCACCTGCGAGCTTTTAAAGCATCTGCCCCTTTTCCTTAGGACACAGTAACTTCAGGCTTTTGATTTAGCATGACACTTCACTAGACTCCTAACATTTAGGGATGACACTGATGAATTCGCTTCATATCCATTGTATTTACTTAGGATATTCTTCTTGCTTGATTTTTTGATTGATTGTTTCATTTTCTTGAAAAATAAAAACAAAAATAGCCTGACGCTTCCTCAAAACTGCACTTGAGAACAAATGAGACATATCAGAAAAACCTGCAATATTTGGTATTACTTACAGGGAATATGCCCTAAGATTAACATGTCTTCCTTTTATACAATTTTTCAACAGCAGGAAGTATTGTCTGTGCATATGAGAAGATGATTTCAGAATGAAGGTTAGGAATATGGCAATAGTAGAACCATATTATTTCCTTAACGCACTTCACTTGTGTGTAAGTCGGGGTTACAATAGTAGGAAAAAAAAGGGAGATGGCACAGAAAATTCTTTGTTTTGTTACCTTCACCCTATACTTGGAGCATCATCCTTCAAACAAAACAGTTATTAAAGAAACTGTTCTCAACCATACAGAGCATCACATCAAAGGACAGAGTCAAGGCAATCTATAAATGTATAAACGAATGATCCATGGAAGCTTTATGAACAGATAAGAAAACCCTATGGCATTTTTTCTAAAACTGAGTGCCTATAGTTAGGCTTCTTAGCAGAGTCTAAAGCTCATCAGTCGATTTACCATGATATTTAAATACAATCTTAACGTTACTTTGTGCCTACACTGGGGGTACTTAATATGCTTAGAGCCAAGTGTGTGCTTAAGTCTTTTCCTTGATCTGAAATAGAGTATTCAGTGTTTTTACACAGCTAAACTCTCATGCCTCAAAAGAACTTGACCGTAGAACTATAATTTCCCAAACATATAGAAAAAAGATAGAATTCCTTTGGTAGCGGTCTTTGATAAGTAGTTCTTTTCTACAGTGAAGGTTGTAGGAATTGTTTCCATGTCCAGCACACTTCAAAACAGATATTGAGGCCAAATTCTGGATTCACACTTTTCAAATCTATTCCACTTTTCTATCTAATAAGGAGGAGTATGTGTCATGAACCAGTTCGTTTGCCACAGTATGTATGATCATGAAAGCAAAATGACACCACAAATATTATCAAATTAATACTGACTTAGGATTTTATATTAATAGTGAAGATGACAAACTGATTCAGTTTGACTTATTACTTGTTAACCCAAAATTTTTAATGGATTGTGAAAACTGTTAATGTTACAGATAACACAACTACAGACTTCTTATAAAATCACAAAGTTGCAATATTGTGCATGAAATAACTACATTCTTTAAGAAAATAATTTATTTTCCATAGCCACAACATCTAATCTGGTATCAGTTACTGTACATATATTTTCTTGCAATACTCTGACTGTCTATGAATACTGGATCCACAGACGCCACTTTTGCTGCTATAAAGGAGTGAATACAGTGTAAAACTGCCGTCAGATCCTGAAATTCAAGTTCCTGAAAGAGGAAGTAAGAGAAAAAAAAAAAAAAAAACAAACATGTGAATTCATATTCATGTTTATAAACACTTTACATAAATACAGAACAGACTAGTAAGCAAACAACAATGGACTTTCAATGAAAATTTGAATCTTTAAAGGGAACTGTTAATAATAAAAGATGTATATCCATACCTCATTCACTGGCAGTGCTGCATGTCAAATTAGTTTTCACTTTGTGCTACCATTATTATTTACATTTTACTCAGCTTGGACATGAAAGTGTTGAACTTGCAAGAACAATTAAATATCACAACATGTTTTGAAGTAACTGATGTTAAGGATGTTTGGGAATGTTGTGGTGTCGAGTCACAGCTGGGAAGGGTGAGGAGAACACATACTTTGGCAGCCTCTGAGGGAGTGTCAGAAAAGAAAGCTGGAAGGCCAAAGGTAGGGTGCAAGCTAAGGTAAAGTCACACCACAATCTCCATATAGAAATAAGGCAGGGTATGAAATTTATATGCCATAATTGACAAAGAAAGGCAGAGTTACTCCGAATCACTTCTCATATTCCCCTGACTTTTTATAATACATTTCTTCTGTGCACAAATGAAATCTATTTTTCCCAATCTCCCCAGACAGAAATGGAGTGATATTCTGACACAATGACCACAAATATAACACAAGAAACAAGTTTGATTTACATAACACTACTATTTGTAAAGTCTGCAGCTGCTAAATGTATTGTGGAGACACTTGGGACAGTTTTTGGTTTGGGGGGAAGACAATTGTTTTCAACAGCTTACAGGCCACATAGCATTTTACTGAGGCACACTCTGTACACTTGCCTTTAAACAAAAAGCAAAGCACTAGACTTCTGCTTTTCCTATCACAGTATTACATGGTATCTTCTCAAAAAAACTGCTTCAAACAGAGTATTTGGAATTCAAGGCTACTGTTCTGGAAAAACCCATCAGCACACTGTTCTGCTATCAAAGGCCATGTATTACTAGGCAGGAATGGTTTTACTACTAATGAATGTCTTAAATTATTTGCTAGTATTTTTGGGCCATGATTTTATGACTCTACTGGAAAATTTCTGGTAGTGGGGGGCACTATAGGGTGGCCTCTGTAAGTAGAGACTGGGGCTGCTCTGTGTGGGGGACAGCCAGTTCCAGACAGCTCACACTGACCCACTTCAGGGCACAGCTGAGCCCTGCAGCCAAAATGGTGGCACCTCTGTGAAAACACATTTAAGCAAAGGCAGTAAATTCCCCCAAAAGGCAAAAAGGCCAGTGGAGAAGGAGGTGCTCCATAGCAGAGCAGGTCTCCTCAGGGGACCACAACCGATGGATGGTGGCACACTGGAGCAGAGCAACTGAGTAAGAAGCGAGGAGCACCAAAGGAAAAGAGAAACAAGGAGTAACACAGAGAAATCATTACACCTTGACAATATTTGAGGGTTCTACTTCCTGACAATAAGATCCTAGTGACTTTTTTAAAACATTGTACACAGTTCCATTACAACCTCAGGCACACATAGTTTATTTGATTTCATTTCCCACTAAACAAATTTATTATTCCTAGAAAAATGTAATTTTATGTTACTGTCTACCCTTTCCAGCATAAAGTGACAATAAGCACTGTTAGTGGACAAAAAGAGTAATAGAATATACTCAACAAGCTCCCAAGATATGCTCCTCCCATGGTATAATAGGCCTTACAAATGCCTTTATCTTCTATGAAACATTGACCCAAGCTACAGAGAAAGATCTTCTCAGACATGGTGGTCTTGGAGCAGAGAAAGTTTGGGCAGCAAGCTGCCCTCCTTATAAAGCTTGCTCAGTTCACACAAAAGCCTAAGAGAACAATGTTTTCAGCCCCTATGTCCTTCAAAGAAGATGTAAGCAGAGACTTTTAGATGTGTATAGTAACTTGTCTACGGTGGGTTATCAGACAAGCAAATTTTAAGTCCTCCCAGAACCTAGAAATACAAGAATTTCTCCACTAAATAACTTTCAGAATGTGTTAACATAAATGAAATTACTCTTCCCACTCTTCAAACATTCTTCTCTGAAATTACTGACTGGTTTTCCTACAACTATCCACGAAAAAAATCTCTGAATTCAGAAACAATGCATAGCCTTTTTTGATGCTGACATTTGAAGTAATAACCAACATAAACCAGAATATTATAATTCAATATCTAATATAAACTACAAACTAACACTTTCAAGATTATAAAAGAACAGCAAACACAAAACATTCCTAATTGAAAAATAAGGGCATAAATCAATATAACTGATAAGCAGAATGTGCTATTTATTTTCATTCATACCTAGTTAAGCAAAGAGAAAACTAGGTAACATTGTGGGAAGAGGCAAAACTCTCTCAAACTTCTGCTTTTGCATATTTGCTAGTCAACAAATTAAGAAATAAATATCCTAAAAGAAGAAAAATCTCTTGAGTACTTGTATCAAAATAAGCACTTAGATAAGAGTTAATAACTGGCATTTGATTGCTGAAGTAATCATTTGGGCCTTGTACTTAAAATTAGATCTTGTTGTGAAAGAAAAATGAAGCATGAATATTGGTTAAAATCCTTTGAGGAATTTAGGCACATATAATTTTTACTCTGATTTTTTTTTGGCATAAACCCTCTGCTTTTTCTATTTTGATTGATAGTTATGGAGCAAGTATGGGAAACACTTTCTTAAAATATATTTCATTGACAGTAGATGTCTACTGTAAATATTAATATAAAATGAATACAAACACTTTCAGAAAAAAAGTGCCATTACTTAACTCTCATTGTCTAAGTTTTGTAAAACTAATACAAAGTACATACTCATGATTATTAATGAAACACAACTCAATATGAAATAATACAGGCCTCAATATATCAATTTTCAGCTCAAGTAAAGGGTTTACATCTAAATTACCATATTTAAAAACAATACATTCTAAAATATAAAGCCACTCACATGAATCTTGGATTTGCTCCAAAATCCACTGATATCCAACAGTTTCACCTCAGGTTCTGATATTCAGCACACTGACCAGATGCAGCCAAATGAACTGAGAGAAGAGAGCCCTTCACAAACACTTCCATTTCTCTGTTCTGACTTGATGTACTTATAATCTATACATGTTTATCAAGATAAGCAACCAGAGGTAAGACAAGACAGATTGTAGGCAGGATTTCAGACCACTCTAACAAGACCAAAGACAGGAATGTCTCACCACTGGGAGTCCATGCTTCCCAGTGCTCCTACTGCAGAGTCCTCTTTGTTTCTATCAAAGTATGGATCAAAATGCAGTAGCTTTTCCTGTGTATCTGAGAGAAGTTGTCTAATCTGCTGTGAATAATCTTTTGAATACTAATAATACGCTCTTATTTCTATAAAATTTAATTAAGATTGTTAGTTTATTTTTGGTGTATTTAGAATAATCTGTGCATGTCTAGTATTTCATTAACCAAAGCTATTTCAGTTTACTTTTTGTATCCTAGTAAGTCGCTTATGTACAACAAAGGCACTAGAAGGGAGACAGCAAGAGAAGAACATGAAAGATTGGATTAAAGCAGTGGGAGAACAGGACTGCAAAACTGCCTGCTGGTACTGAGAATATAAAAAATGTGCACACTGCACTGACCTCAATCATTATATGTGCACAGCCAAGTAAGAAAAATATATGTTCTTGTTGGGTCCACCCACCTATGAGAGTTGGATTTATTACATATCATAAAGAGCTTGACAGGCCAGTTGCATCATTACCACGCACACATTTAATTTTATTGATTACTTCTGAGAGCTGTTGGATCCCTGTTTCAACAAGACATGAGCCTGTATGACATAAAAGGCAGATAATGGAGACACTGACAGATAGTGTTATTATGCCCTGTGCATTTCATGACTTCTTTAAGGACATTGGTAAGCTTCAGTGTTATTAGCTGTTGAGAGCACAACTATTACTACCGTATTACTACTTTGGCATATTATCTCAATTAGATTGAAATGTTAATCATATCTTTTGTACAAAAAGATCAGATAATGAGATCTGTGTTTTAGCACCAGTCCACACGGAAGTCAAAATATGAAAGAAAATTCTAAATTCAGTTCCATATCTCAGCAAGTATACCAGGGCTTGGCTGACATATCCTGGTTGAAAAGAATAAATGTATTAGTATTGCACAGCTTGTTAACACTGGTATAAACAGGCAAAGATAAATTATCAGCTATGGTATTAAAGCTTCCTCAGCTATAAACTTATACTGGGTCTCCTCTGTGGCTGCAATTTGCACAAAGAGCAGAAGGATAAGCTAAAATAGTGCTCTTACCCTGCAAAAGTAAGAGCCAGATCTATGATGCCAACATTCAGTGCCAGATGAATTGCAACTCTATCAATTGTACTTAAGTTTTTTACCCGTGTTCTACAGGGATCTGCAAGTCAGATGGCTTTTCACTTTCAGCTTGAGTGATTCCAAATGTCATTATCTAGGGCTAAATCTGAAACACTTTTAAATGTTGCATTGCCAGATGTAAGCTTTGCTAATGCACAAAAAACTCATCCAAAAAGTTGTTCTGGAGATGCTTTTCTAAGAGCAGCCAGCTAAATTAATCCATTCCAGCAAACATTAAAAAAAAACTTCCAACAGCAATCAGACTGTCCAATACTCTCATGGAGGCAAAAATCTTAACTCTTCTCTACCATCATCTTGCAACTGTTTGTCACGATGTTCAGAAGTAAACGTCATCATCAAAAGACCCATATTGATAAAAATACAGAAGAGCTTGAGTTCTAGATTATGGCTTACTGATGCTAGAGATTAATGTTGCTGTAAACAGAGAGCTTTGCTTGCACTCTCCTTAATTTGCCAAATCTCTCAACAGTACTAATATGGAATAAATATCGTCTCAGATGAATACAGTCAATCTAAAGAAAGAAATATGGTTGTTGACTTGTCCTTCATCACTCTCTCGCAGCTCTCCCGTTTTTTAAAGAGAATAGGATTTATTG